GGTGTTCATTTTAAACAGATTTCACATTTTATTCATATAGGTTTGTCTCTCTACTACCTTCCTCCATCTTCCCCAACTCATTTTGGATGTCTTAAGGTCATCAGCATTAAGGACTTTTCCCCTTAAAGTAGTAGTCATTTTTAACCAATTCTTTCACATTTCTGTTATAATTAACGTTAAGTATTTGCAAGCTGATTGGGGTCAGAGATGTGGTTTGATGAATATATTGTGAGTTTTTATAGGAGATAGTTGTTGTACTTTGTTTCCTTATCTACTAACTAGGTATTTGCTGAGTTTCAGCTACATTTCCAGCATCATATAGTGTGCTGAGTGCTAAGCAGAAAGTGAGTACAATATTGTTTCTGAACAGTTTATATTCTAACAGAGGAAATAGAACAAGATCTCATCAAATGTTAAGAAAAATGTTAAACTTTTTTTTTTTAAGACACTAGATATTTACAGATGAGAGAATATTCATTTGATTTGGGTAGTTAAGGAGTGTTTTACTCTGATATGCTGGGGCTGAATAGGGCCTTTGAAAATGTATACATTTTAAAAATAGGCCAGGCGCGGTGGCTCACGCCTGTAATCCCAGCACTTTGGGAGGCCGAGGAGGGTGGATCACGAGGTCAAGAGATCTAGACCATCCTGACTGACATGGTGAAACCCTGTCTCTACTAAAAAATATAGAAATTAGCTGGGCATGGTGGTGTGCGCTTGTAGTCCCAGTTACTCAGGAGGCTGAGGCGGAAGAATCACTTGAACGGGTAGGCGGAGGTTGCAGTAAGCCGAGATTACGCCACTGTGCTCTGGCTTAGTGTGAGAGTCCGCCGCTGTCTCAAAAAAAAAAAAAAAAAAAAAAAAGGAAAAACAAACCAGTAAACCTTGAGAAATTAAAAAAAGCATAGTTGAGGCATATTTCTTCATAATTATATACTTGTATTGCCCACGGAAAATACATGTGTAGAAGTATTTCTTCTGTTATTTGTTACTATCTTCTTAATTTGTTGCGTGTAGAAGTATTTCTTCTGTTATTTGTTACTATCTTCTTAATTTGTTGCGTGTAGAAGTATTTCTTCTGTTATTTGTTACTATCTTCTTAATTTGTTGCAAAGAGAATGCTACCATACTGCATTCCCTCTGGCAGGAAACAAACTCAGTCAAAACCGGCAGTGCTGCTATCAGATAAGTAGATCTCAATGTATACTTACAAGGAAAAACTAAAAAATGTAATGCATTACTTCATCCTTTTCCTATGTATTATTTCCAAGTCAGACTTTCTTACATTCCTGGAATTTAGTTTGATATAGCAAGAATAATAATGATAAAATAATGATATAAGGTTTGCTTTGATTACTGTTGGAGGGGGATGAAATGTTCAATTGTATTAAAGTTTTCAGAGGAAAAAAAAATCAGTCACAAGATGTAATGGAAGAAGAGATGCCATTTAATTAGCCAAGCAAATTATATAGGCATACACTTAATGAGAAATCTTCAGAATTTTTATGAGACCTATAAAAACTCTCAAAGGCACAACCGTAAACCTGAACAAATATAAAGATATACTATGTTCTGGGTAGGAAGACTCAATATTCTTAGAGATGTCAGGTTTTAAAAAATAATTTACAAATTTAATATGATCCTGATGAAAGTACCATTAGATTTTTTCTCCTATGGCTAGACAGATTATAAAGTTCATTTTCAAGAACAGACAAGAAAGAACAGCTAAGAAAATGCAGAAAGTGAAGAGCAGTAAAGATGGCTTATCTTGCTACATGTTATAACATGATATAAGCCTTTAAGATTAAAATGGTATGCCATTGGTACAAGAATAGAGAGAACAATTAGAATAGAAATGCACAATAAACCCAATTGCATATGGAAATTTAATGTGTACTAAAGGGAGCATCCTGTAAATGGAGAAAATATGGAATTTTTAGTATGTGGTGTTTTTGCTAATGAGATAGCCAGTTGAGAAGAGGTAAGTGTGAATCCATTTCTCATACTGTATAACAGGATATCAGTATAGAAAATAACACTAAGTACTGGAAGAAAACATGGGTAAATTATTTTGTGATCTGTAAAACACACACACTTTTGCATAACAGAAAATGCCATAGTCAAAGCAAAAAGACAAATGACAAACCAGAAGGATGTTTGCCACTTGTATCATGGACAAGTGTTAATCTCTCAAATATCTAAAGAACTCCAAAAACTGGAGAAGAAAAAGATCAACAGCTTTATGAAAATATCAGCAGGAAATAATGAACAGAATTCTTACAAACAGTTACAGATAAATCTTATATGACAAGAAGCTGAACATCACTTATAATAGATGTAAATTAAAACAACACAATATATCATTTCTTTCCTATCACACTGGCAGAAGTTCATCAGTTTGACAATGCGTTTTGTTGGTAACAGAAAAAGGTACTCTTATATGTTGCTATTGGGAATGCAAAATGGTGTAGCTTCAGAGAGAATTTTGGCAATACAAGCAAAATTACATACATACACCTTTTGACCCCATAGTCTTATCTCTAGGAATCTATCTTACAGAAATATACTGAGAAATATCTAAGAAATATGTGTACACTAAGCTACTGTGCCACCATTTCTTTCTTTTTTTTTTTTCTTCTAGAGATGGGGTTTCACCATGTTGGCCAGGATGGTCTTGATCTCTTGACCTCGTGATCTGGCCACCTTGGCCTCCCAAAGTGCTGGGATTACAGGTGTGAGCCACTTATCTTGGCTGGCACTATTTCTAATAACAAAAGATGAAACAATTTAAACTTTGATCTTAATTTCAACAAAACAACTATAAAAATTGAGACCATAGCAGAAATTTGAACAGTGACTGAATAGTTGGTTATATTAGTTATTTTACACATGATGATACTATAATGGTTATCTTTAAAAAGAGCAACATTTTAGAAACATTTGATATGTTACCATTCATTACAGATACTGTTTGTATTAATACTTGAAATGATTCACCTTCAGCCAGTGAGAGTCCCTTGAAGTTAACTCTTGAGTCCTTTGCCACGTTTTAGAGATCATTATTTATGTATTTATGGGTGAAATTATGTGATTAAAAAATATTTCAAAATAATCCAAAGGACAGGGTAAATGGGGAGGCAGAGGCGAAATAAGATTAACAACATGAATTGATAATTATTTTAATCTGATTGGTTAGGGTTTTGCTACACTTCTTCGCATATATTTAAAATCTCTTGTAAAAAATGTGTGGAGTTTAAGTAGGCATAAATGAAGAGAGTACATTTAGAACAAAGGCATTGAGACCAAGGATGATGAGAAATTGGACATGAAGTTCTTATACAATTTAATTTCCTGGTAAATATAAAATAGACTTCCTTTATTTGCATTGTATCTTATTTGTGGTATCTTTTTGTGTGTATGTGATGTAGTGCTTAAGGTATACTTTTCTATTAATGTAACTCTAAAGGTTAAAATAATTCATAAAGTATGCAGTTTATTTGTTTATTGGTCCCCATTATAGGGCCTTTGAATTACCAGAATAATTGATCTGGAGGAAGTGAATGTTTTCTCACACTTTTAATGGAGTGCCTTATTTTCTTTCAACTTTTGCTTGGACATAGATTAAAATAGATCAGGTGAAAGAGAAATTTTTTTTTTTTAGTTATACTATGTATGTACTTATTAGAATATGATAATGAATAAGCTTTTCTTTAAGATACTTAGTTTCTTTCCCTATCAACTTTTTAATTTCATCTCCCTTTCTCCTAGTCTGTTTTCCTTTATCCTCATATTCTCCTAACTCTCTTAACCCTCTCTTCTTTACCACTCTGTCTTTACTTTTTTTGATACACTTTTTCTTTACTTTTTAAATTGACCAAATCATATGTATTTATTATATACAATGTGATGTTTTGAAGTGCCTACACATTGTGAAATGGTTAAAACTAGCTAACATCTGCATTACCTGACATAGTTATTTTTGTGGAGAGAAATTAAATATCTAGCCTTAGCATCTCTCAAGAGGACGACAGATCTTCATTAGCCGTAATCACCACATAGTACAGTAAAGCCATTGAACCTATTTCTCCTATCCAAACTGTAATTTTGTATTCTTTGACCAATGCTCCTAAATTTACTCTGCTGTCTCTATCTCAGTCTTTTCCCCCTTTTCTCGTCTTTCATCCTCTGTTCAGTTTCCAACTTTTACTGTTTCTTTGAACATTTTTTCTTTTCTCCTTTTTTTCTTTTGCATATTGTTTTCCCCTCTCTCCTTGTCTTACCCCTTTTACGTCCTCTTTTCTTCTTTGATTTCTCTGACCTTTTATGCCTCTCATCCTTATTTCCCTTTCCCTCTCTCTCTGCTTCATTCTACTCTTTCCCTCTTTACTTCTTATCTCTCGCTCTTCCTCAGTTCACTCTGTCTCTCCTGCTGTCTAGTCTCCACTCTCTATTTCTAGGTTTGCTCACACTTGTTTTTCACCTTTTCCTTTTCAATTCCCTTCCCAAACATCTCTTCTTAATTCTATGTGCTCTTGTCTTAGGCTTCTTGCTGTTTTATCAGCAAAAGTCCTTGTTTACCTCTTTTTTCTTCTTTCTCTTTTTTCTGTTTTTCTATGTTTCTTCCATGTTGCTTTTCTTTTTCCACACTGTCCCTTCTCTTTCTCATAAACACATCCCCCTCGTCTTGTTACTCTATATCTCTCCACTCAATCTTCCATCTTATTTTTCCTGAAAGAAAATTAAGGATGGGATTTTTCTCATTTTTTCCAGATGTTAACATTGAGATTGTTTATTTAGTAATTTCTAAACATGCCATTTTAACAACTTATAAATAAGTTGTATGACATTTCATACCATTACAAAAATCTATCTTCCTCTTAAGTGTTTTTGCTTGAGAATCCTCATTGTGTCTTATAAAGACAGACAATATGGTTTATTTAGTAACATCTAATGGCATTAAGCATGAGGAGCATGTTAACTTGTTTTCTATTCTACCACAGATTAATACTACGATTGGAAGTTCGTATCTTTTGCTGGATATTGGAAATTGAATGTAATGGCAACAGAATTTATAAAGAGTTGCTGTAGAGGATGTTTCTATGGTGAAACAGAAAAACACAACTGTGAGTTTTGTTTTATTTTGATGTCAGTAACATTTATGTAGCACCTTCTTCATTTGTGGCATTTTGTAATATCAAAAAATAGGCATGTTTTCCAACTTCTTGGGGGAAGCAGAAATATAAGGCACACTAGATAAATATTTTATAACTTCACATCATCTGGAGCATAGGGGAGAGAGATTAATTCAATCCAAGAGACACGTAAGACCTTACCATAAAGAAGATTGCATTTGCCCTGGAAATCTGAATAGGAGTTTAGCAAGATGGTTGGAAGAAGGAAGAGAAGCTGAAAGCTGGATATGGGTGTTACAGGTAGATGAAATAGTGTAGTCAAAGGCAAGGAGGGAAGAGAAGTATGTTTGAGAGACAACATATTCTGACCAATGTTTTGATTTAAATAAAGACAATTTTGAATATGTATATAACATTAAAAATGCCTTGAATTAATCAATAACCAGTGGGGAAGAGACCTGTAACTTTATGAAGACCCACATTTATTAAGGACCCTTGGAGAGTTCTCTCTTTATTGCATGGCTTTCTTATCTCTTCTCTGGCTCCTTTTTAGAGCAGAGCTTCATAGTATATTTGAGTATGCAGGCTTCTTTTTTACATTGAAACATTTCATAAATTTCTACACAATAATATTTGTACTTTCATTCAGTCTACAGATAGCGTTATATATATATAAAGAATAACTTAGTTCCCATCGTAAGTCATGTAACTGAGGAATCACATATGATTCTAGAGAATGAATAAAATGGGTCATAAAAACTACGACAGGGATAGCTGCTATTGTGAAATATATTGAGGGTCATAATGTATTTTATTTTGTGATTTGGTTGAGATTTTTAGACTTAGAGACCTTTAGCTTCCTTATAGTGTTGCTATATGCAGTTAAGACTGATGTTAACCAGTAGTACTGACAAGAATTGCTTTTGTTGACAGTATTTTTAAATGACTAGATTTTTACTTGAAAGCACTGTGTAACTAACTGTGAAATAAAATTGTTTTCCATCTGTGGATTCTTGTGGGAATAAGACCCTTTTAAAGCTGCTTTTACCATTATGATAAGTTAATGCACTTTAGCAATAATGTTTTAATTGCTCAAACATTGTCTGGACAAAATTAATGTAGATTCCAGAATTGTTTGATAAGACCCAAGAGTAAATATGTCAGTAATTTGTTCTAAAATGGTTAAATATCAAAATATACTAGGTTTAGATTATATGTAACTTATATTCATATTTATGACTTTTTTCTTTTCCTTTTTCTTTTATGTGCAGTTTCTGTGGAAAGAGATTATAAAGCGACACTCCCAAATAGTCAGAATGCTGCTATCTCTGTGCCTCCATTGACTTCTGTTTCTGTAAAGCCTCAGTTTGGCTGTACTGAGGATTATTTGCTTTCCAAATTACCATCTGATGGCAAAGAAGTACCATTTGTGGTGCCCAAGTTTAAGTTATCTTATATTCAACCCAGGACACAAGGAACTGCCTCACATCTGGAAGAACTTGAAGGTAAACAATAAAATAGCAAGATTTAAAAATCACTGCAGCACTTAAGTTCTGTTATTTTGCCTTGGTATTTTTAATACAAAATTCATATAAAACTTTTGAATTTTGTTTTTTATGTTTTGCTTTTTCTGTAGAAGAACTTAATGTACAGTATTTTTGAAAGGTCCCATTTTGAAATCTGATAATAAGACAATAATTCGTGTGTAGATTTGGCCTTTTTTCAAGCAACAATATATAATTGGGCCTCCCTATTCATGGATTTCACTTCTATGGATTTAACTAACTGCAGATCAAAAATATTTGGAAAAAAAAAATGAATGTGTCTGTACTGAACATGTGCAGAATTTTTTATTTTCATTTTCCCCCAAACAATACAGTGTAGCAACTATATCAATAGCATTTACATTGTATTAGGTATTATAAGTAATCAAGAGATGATTTAAAGCATATTGGAGGATATGTGTAGGTTATATGCAAATACTATACCATTTATATAAGGAACTAGAGCATCCATGGATTTTGGTATCCATGGAGGGTTCTGGAACCAATCCCTCACATTTACTGAACGATAACTGTAATTATAATACCTCAGTTCTCCATCACATGTCTAGAATGAAAAAGTAAAGGAGTTATTTTGTATTGGTTAGTGAACATAGAAGACATGTTTCTTATTTATTATTTTCTAATATTTGGTGCAATGAAAAATAAGGAAACAACCAAATAGTCATTTTGCCTTCCCTTTGTTCTTCACCAATCTGTATGTACTTCTCATTCTAAATAGTTACTTGAATAAGGTAGATCCATTGGCTGAATTTGGGTGATGTAGAAGCTAAGGATTAATAGAGAGAGGATGAAATAACATGTAGCTCTTGTTTTTTAAAAAAACAATTTGTGTTAATCCATTGACACACTAAGGCACAATGGCTTTTTTCCCTCAAAATTTTATTAGAAAAATTTCAAACATATAGCAAAGTAAAACAAACAAACAAAAAACTTAATAGCCAATACCTGTATGTCCACCACATAAATTCTGCCATTAACATTACTTACTATACTTGCTTTATCAAATATCTGTCTACATATCCATTCTTTTATCCATTATTAATCCCCTTTTTGGAGGGGAATGAATTTTAGAGTAAATTGAAGACACCAATATATTTCCTTGCAAACACTTAAACATATATATTATTTACTGGAATTCAACAATCTCTTTACAGTTTTCTTCTTTTGACATAAATTTTATACACAATGAGCTGCCCAAGTGAATGTAGAATTTTGTGTATATTTGCTGAATGTTAAGTGTATCTTTGTTGAATATTGACAAATGTGTATGTCAGTGTAATACAAATCTCTATCAAGAGCTACGGTATTTGTCCAAATATTTTTTGTCTTATCCCCTCTTCTTCTTCTGGGATTCCAATTATACCTATGTTGGACCTTTTGATGTTCTGTAGGTCTGTGAGACTATTTTTTTTTTCCAAGTATTTTTCTCTGTTCTTTAGATTCAGTAATATTGATCATTTTTTCAAATTCACTGTCTCTTCTGTTATCTTTAGTCTGCTGTTAAGCCTATTCATGAATTTTTTAGTTTAGACATTGCATTTTTTAGTTGTAGCATTTACATTTGGTTCTTTGTTATAGTTTTCCTCTACTGCAATTTCTTATTTTTACGTTCTTGCAAACCTATTTTCTTTCATGTTGTAAGCTTTAAAATCTTTATCTGCCTATTTCAGCATCTAGGTCTTCTAGGTTTGGATTTGTGGATTGTCTCTTCTTGAAAATGGATCACATTTTCCTGTTTCTTTGTATATGGAGTAATTTTGGGTTGTATTCTTGATATCAGTATCAAAAATATTGACTATTATGTTGTGGAGATTCTAGATTCAATTCCATTCCTCTGAAAAGGTTTCTTCTTTCCTCCCTTTCTTCCTTCTTCCTCCTCTTTTTCATCCCTCCTTTCCTCCTTCCCTTTCTCCTTTCCCTCCTGATATGGTTTGGATATTTGTTCCCTCCAAATTCATGTGATTCCCAGTGTTAGAACTGGGGCCTGGTGGGAGGTGATTGGATCACAGGGCAGATCCCTCATGAATGGCTTAGCAACATCCCTTTGGTGATAGGTGAGTTCTAGCCCTGAGTTCCTGTGAGATCTGGTTGTTTAAAAGAGCCTGGCACCTCACCTGCCTATCTCTTGCTCCTGCTGTTGCCATGTGATGTGCTTGTTCTCTTTTTGTCTTCCACTGTGATTGTAAGCTTCCTAAGGCCCTCATCAGAAGCAGACGCTGGCACCATGTTTTCTGTACACCCTGCAAAACACAGAGCAAATGAAACAGATTTTCTTTATAAATTACCCAGCCTCAGATATTTCTTTATAGTGATGCAAACAGAATACCACACCTTCCTCCTCCTCCTCCTTCCTTTCTTTCTTCCTCCCTTCTACCAGACAAGTAAATTGGTTGGACTTAAACTATAAATTTTGTCTTGGATGGCAGCACTTGGGTGGTAGTTCAGAGATGAGACAGATATTTGAAAAGGCTTTATTTATAGAATTTGGAAATCTCTCCTTTCCAGGATTCTCACCTTACTTTCCTGCAGCTCTGATTTCTTTGAACTGTACCCTGTTGTTCTTCAGCTAGAAAGACTGTGAGTTTTCTGTTGGAGTTTTATATACACTGTGTGGTGCCAACTTTGATGTGTGCTCAGGTTAATAGTCATTAAAGACCGATAACTCACTTTGTGTCATTACCTTTTTCCCCAGAGTCAACTTCTATCTAGATCTGTATTACTTTTCTTTACTCTTCATTGCCTTCAGGGTTTTTATTTGCTTGCTTTGTTTTAGTTTTGGTCTAGAGTTTATTGTTAGCTACAAGAGAGTTGGGTCTGGGAGGAGTGATTTTTTTTTAATTATAATTAAAATTTGTGGGGGTTTTTTTTGAGACAGAATTTCACTCTGTTGTTTGGGCTGGAGTGCAGTGGTGTGGTCTTGGCTCACTGCAACCTCTGCCTCTTGTGTTCAAATGATTCTCATGCCTCAGCCTCCTGAGTAGCTAGGACTACAGGTGTACACTACCACACCCAGCTAATTTTTGTATTTATAGAGATGGGGTTTTGCCATGTTGGCCAGGCTGGTCTCAAACTCCTGTCTTCAAACATTTCACCCACCTTGGCCTCCCGAATTGCTGGGATTACAGATGTGAGCCACCATACCTGGCCAAATTAAATTTTTTAAAGAAAAAGAAAAGATGAACCCCGGTGCCTGGCCTACCATCTTACTTTGTGCTTATCAGTAGTCTTTCTCAAAAATAGTTTTAAAAAGTTCTGGCTCATAGAACACCCAATCAATTGATCTTTCTCTTTTTTTCATCTTTTAACGACATTGGGATTAAACCATGCAGTCTTGTAAGTTGTTTTATCCACATAATATATTCTGAACATTTCATATTTGTTGCTTTTTGATTAATTCATAGTATTTCTTCATATGAATATGCCATAATTAGTTTAATAAATTTTCTAAATAATTTTGAGCTTTTAATGTATTATTTTCACAATCAGAAAAAAGGTAAGAAATATCTACCTGGGAATGTGTGATAGTTTTTCTTATGTTCTTGACATTGCGCTCACTAGAAAACATTGCTTTTTGAGTTGAATGAGGGAGAAATTGGTTAACTCTTAAATTACAGGTTCATTGATGGAGTGGTGAAACCATCGGATTTTTATATATTAGAGAGAAAATTACTTTTATTAGAGTCAAGAAAGTAAGGTGGTACCTAATTATAGAAGTTAAATAAGTGTATGTATGTATGCATATGTGAATGACGGGTTGAGATAGAGAAGATTTTGAGGGGATAGGGCAGACTGCTATCAATAATGACTAAAATCGTGTTTCAAGCACAGTCGTGAATCATTTAACAATGGAGATATGTTCTGAGAAATATGTTGTTAGGCTATCTTATTGCACGGACAATGTAGAGCACTTATACAAACCTAGGTGGTGTAGCCTACTAAACACTTAGGCTATATGGATAGCTTATTTTTCCTAGGCTGCAAAACTATACAGTATGTTACTATACTGATTGCTGTAGACAATTAACACAGTGGTAAGTGTTAGTGTATCTAAATATATCTACACATAGAAAAGGTACAGTAAAAATATAGTATAAAAGATAAAAGATGATACACCTTGTATTAGTCTGTTTTCATGCTGCTGATAAATACATACCTGAGACTGGGTGATTTATAATGAAAAAGAGGTTTAATGGACTCACAGTTCCACATGGCTGGGGAGGCCTGACAATCATGACGGAAGGTGAGAGGCATGGCTTACATGGCTGCAGGTAAGAGAAAATGAGAGCCAAATGAAAGGGGGAACTCCTTATAAAATCATCAGATCTGAGACTTATTCACTACCATGAGAACAGTATGGGAGAAACCGCCCCTATGATTCAATTATCTCCTATCAGGGTTTTCCCACAACATGGGGGAATTATGGCAGCTACAATTCAAGATGAGATTTGGGTGGGGACACAGCCAAACCATATCATTCTGCCTTTGGCCACTCCTAGGTCTCGTGTGCTCACATTTCAGAACCAATTATGCCTTCCCAACAGTCCCCCAAAGTCTTAACTCATTTCAGCATTAACTCAGAAGTCCACAATCCACAGTCTCATGTGAGACAAATCAAAAGTTAGCTAGTTACTTTCTAGATACAATGGCAGTGTAGACATTGGATAAATACACCTGTTCCAAATTGGGAGAAATTGGCCAAAACGAAGGGGCTAAAGGACCCATGCAAGTCCAAAATCAAGCGAGGCAGTCAAATCTTAAAAGCTCCAAAATGATTTCCTTTGACTTCATGTCTCACATCCAGGTCACACTGTTGTAAGAGATGGGTTCCTATGGTCTTGGGCAGCCCCACCCCTGTGGCTTTGCAAGTTACAACCTCCCTCCCAGCTGCTCTCATGGGCTGGCATTGAGTGTGGCTTTTCCAGGTGTACGGTGCAAGCTCT